TTGCCTAGCTCGTGACAGAGCTGAGCCCTTCAGTTATTAAAATGAGATTCCCCTAAGCCATGTCTTAAGAGTAAAATCATGCTCTGAAGTGAACGCTACATCAGCTAAAAGAGACATGGCCTAACAGAAGATTAAAAACAAGGCCGGCAGGTCCAATGGATTTAACTGCCTGCCAGAAGAAAACTGCACATTTTTTTGAAAAAATTTAAAAACATATTCAATAATGTGCCATCTACAATATCCCACATATAATACCAAATGCATATATACATAAAGAAGTGGGGGATTTTGGCCCACAATCAAGGAAATAACTTTGTCAGTGGCGGGAACCTATGAGATTGTCCTGGTGTTAGAATTAACAGTTTGGGACTTTAAAGTGGTTAATAAAGGTATGTGCAAGGGGCTGCACCTGTGCCGCAAAGGAGTAGGACACTGGTCCCATATACTGGAGGTGGTAGGTTCAAACCCAGCACTGGCCAAAAAAAAAAAAAACCTGCAAAAAAAGGAAAAGGTATGGGCAAGTAGAGAAAGTAAAAGAAGTCATACTGGTTAGCCCAGTGATAATCTCCGCAGAAAATTCGGAACTATTTTTAAAAAGCCAATTTTAGTGTTGAAAATCTAAAACCTATAATAAAAAATGATATATTTAATATGTATAATAAAAATAAAGAGGTGTTCTTAAAAGGAGATCGAAAATGATGGGGGGAAATAGTAAACTTGAAAGCAAAACAATAGAAATTATCTTAATTGAAGAAGAGAAAAATACAGGAATTATATTAAAAGGAGAGGAGATTCAGAGACTTTAAGACAAGTAGCATAGTATACAGACAAGTGGAATGCCAGCAAGAGAGAAGAAAGACAATTAATTTGAAGAAATAATGATCAGAAAATGTCTCCATTTGGTAGGAAAACATTAAATTCCAGATCTAAAAACCTCAATAAATTCAAACAGAATAAATACAAAGTCAATCCCACGTAGACACATTATACCCTATATCTAAAAATCAAAATGTCAATCAACAAGAACATGGCTAGACAAATCGTGACATAGTCACATAATAGAGTACTACTGAGCAATAAGAATGATGAACAATTGACATACGCGACATGAATGGGATCTTAAATGTTTTAAATTTAAGTGAATGAAGCCAGAATCAGAAAAGTCCATATACCTAATCAGTGGTGATAAAAATCTGAATAATAGTAGTTATCAAATAGGGATGCAGACTGACAAAAAGTAGATGTGGGAGACAAACAGGAGATTTGTAAAATGAGGAAAACGGTCTATACTCCCCTTTGGGTATTGATAGCATAGTTGCATGCATTCCGCAAAACTTAATATATTTAAGATCTATGCACTTTTCTGTATGTAAATATTACTTCCATTTAAAACATTTTTAAAAATTAACAAAATATGAATGGATCTTTAAAAGAAGATATAATTATAGAATTGTATTAATCTTTCCTGTACACTAAATTATACTAATTTAGCAGTTTTTATTTTAAGCCCATAGGTTGTTCCATCCAGCTCATTGAAGTACCTGAAGGCAGTAATATGAGTCTGGCCTCCTTTTGTGACAAAGTAAAAAAGTAAGTGTTGCTATTTTGTTAAAATTTGACGTTTCCATGCTTAATTTGTCTATTTTTACATCACTGAACTGATTAATTTTGCATATAAAACATCAAAGTCCTATAATTTTAAATACCATGAAAAATAGAAAATTTTGACAAATTAGTTCATAAATCAACTCTATTAATGATTTTAGAGGAGAATGGATGTTTTTCTCTTAAACATTTGTTTAAACTTGAATGTTTCATAAAGTCAGAGCTATCTTTGTTGATTGTAGTAGTTTGATTTACAGTGAACTAGTTTCTTATTCAATGACATAAATGACTAACTCCCAGATTAACACAGTTTATCACTCCGACCTAGGACATTCTATTTAATATCATGACAATGCCTTTCTCTTAATAGTTCGATATTATTATGAATGGGTTGGCAGAGTTTAAATAAATGTGTGTGTGTTAATCACTGAAAAACAAATTTGATCACAAGGAGACATTATGAAATCTATCACTGATTTTTCTTGCTCATCTAAAAATGAACGTAGGATAGAATGGTGGTTACCTTTTATAAAAGACCAATTTCTCACTTGCAATTAAAATTTACGTAATGCTATCTCTATTGTTTCTGAGGTTCCTGAAGGATTGGAAAAACCAATGAATTTACATTTTAGTTCTCTTGATTTAATGCATTTAGAAGTGTAGTTTGAACCATATTCAGTAAAATTTTGATAAGCTTTAACTTACTACTGAATGACCCGTAAAGATTTGAACCATTTATTTAATCATGAATTGAAAGGCCATTTTAGTGCATAATAACTAGTTCATTCATGAGATATTTATATTTAAAGCAAACAAGTAAACAAAAAAGCAAGGTTTCTGACTGAAAAAAAAAATCTATAAAGCGTATTGGAAAGATTAAAAGGAATGGACATAGAAATATAAAACAAACCTCAACTCTATTAAAATGTTCAATAGTTAATGAA